TAACCGCATATGACTGTAATGAGCATTTTCAAAATACTAATAAACAGTTTTCTAACAGTTAAATGTCTGTTCTTTTGTTTGTTTCTTTTTCTTTAAAAAGATACACCTCATTTGAGCATCACACAGTTTGGCTGGATTAGGTGACACACACATCACCTTGTGCCTGTGCACGTTCCTGGCTCCCGTGTGACTTGTGTCTTGGAATGAAATATTTTGTGTGCATTTGCTTGTGTGAGAATGTTGTCAATTTAAATATTTGATTATAAAGACTATTTAAAAATTTAATATGCATAATCAGGGATAATGCCTTTGTAACTCTTACTAATACCAGTTCTGTTCCAACACTTGGTTATATAACACTTCCTACCATCCTTTTCTACTGTTTTTTTAAAGAAAAAATGAAATGATACTGTTTGTATGAAACATTACATATAAACAGAATTCTCAGTGAACTTGGTCAAAATGTTTCAGAGTTCTTAAGAACTATAACTCCTGGGACATTTTCATTGGCAATCAGAGTTGTCTACGTCATTATGGAGCTATCTGGTTTCAGAGAAAGTGGAGTGGACCAGGGGACCTCTTCAGGACCTTTCCTGTCCTTTGTTTATATGGCTTGTCTGACTGTAGGCTGATGATTTGCTGCTTGACGTAGCCCATAATTCAGTGGCAATGCCAAACAGAGGCAAAAATGATAACCAAATATCAAGAAATCAAGCCAAGGGGTCAGGCTGGATGGCCTGCCAAGTCTTTTCCATCTCATGTGTATAACATTTCTATCATGATGCAAAACCCAAAGAGTAAAAATTCCTCATTAAACAAGTATGCATTGTTGTGTAGCATAATCATTTGCTGTCAATTGCAGTTTGGGGAAAAATCTAATTCTTCTTGTTTTTCTAGGTGAAATACCACGAAGATTTTGAGAAGACAAAGGGCAGAGGTTTCACTCCAGTTGTAGATGATCCTATAACAGAGCGGGTGCGGAAAAACACCCAGGTTGTAAGTGATGCAGCATATAAAGGAGTGCATCCACATATAGTTGAAATGGATAGAAGACCTGGAATAATTGTTGGTAAGTTGTTTAATAATGTTGCACCCCCACTATGGGGAATGTGAAAACCTCTGCTTGTCTTTTAGATTATAACCAGGAAAAATACTCCCAGGTTTCATTTTACTTTCCTATAATTGTGAAAATACAGTAAAATCGCTGTTTACATTTTTCAGGCAGGATATGCTATTTTTTGTTTTACCGGAAATTACTTCTTTTGTTGTTTTTACAAGTATGTGTCAGAAAATAAATTGTCCTGCAAAATGGCCAGTTCTGAGGATATTAGGAATCAAGTAATAAAATGAAAGAATTTTATTAGATATTAATTAGCCTTGAAAACCACGTGAAAATGTGAAGTACACTGTAATATAAAAACACTCCAAAGGCTGCATCCAACTTCAAAAAGTGAATTACTGTATTTGAGAGATTTTACAGTAGTTCCTAAAAAGAGATAATGGTAGAAATCAGCTTGATAGTTTAATGCAGATTAACTCCAAAGGAATGTGATATTAACTCATGGGTGCTTCCCCTTGTTTGATTACTTCCATGTCTGGGGAGGCAAAGGTAAGTGAACAGATTAATTTCTAAATAATATATAATAATATATAATAACTCTGAAATTTCTGTTAGAAGTTTAACTTCCATATTTATATCCACTCTCTGCTCAGTGTGAAACTGGTGTTGAACTGCTAGTACAGTGCCAGCTTCTAATAAAGTTCGAAGTAGTAATAGGAGTGAATACATTGTCATTTGCTGTGCAAATTTTTAAATATATATAGCCTTCGCTGTTGCTTTGCTTTTGAATATTCAGTCTTCCAGAAAGACTAAGATGTCTGCAATAATCTTCTTTTTGCACAGAGGAGAAAGATTAAAGCTATGATTCTCTAAGGTTTAAATGTTGCAGACCTACCAATTTCCCCCTCTACCAGTCTGCTATTTCTCCAAAGCTACACATACTTTTTGTATCTCAGGTTGTAGAATTTTACAGTGTTCAAATTATCTGCAGCAGTAACTCATGAATACCTCACCATCTCTGGTGAGCCAAACATCATAATTCAGAAGCATTGTTATAAAAGGTGGTCTGAGGTAAGACCAGGTGTTTAGAGGATAGGATACGGATAGTTTCTTTGTGTAGAGATAGAGTATTGTGTTAAGATGTCATCTGGGATGTTTGTTTCAAGCACTTGTTCAGAGTGAATATTTGAATATAAATATTCAAAATCTGCTGGAAGTTCACAGATGTCCTATGGTAAAGGGGAAGGTAACCAGCCATTATTCATTATTTTTCACTTTTTCTTTTGGTGTTTCTTTTTCTCTTTTTTTTCCTGTGCTTGACAACAACAGTATAGACTGCAGGAATTGCGAGATACAAATTGTAAAGTCCTTGATTCATTTTAACAATAACAGGAGTTGACTTTAAGAGTGCCTATCAAAAATTCATAGAAATTACATGCTGGACAGGTGGAATAGACCAAACTGTGTGTCTCATAGTTCACGCTCCTGCCTAAAACAAGATTAGCTACGTCTCTATTATTCCTGGCAGATATCTTCCAAATGAGGCACCACCCCTTGTTCCAGGTTCTCAGTATTTTTATTTCCTAGCAATTTTGTTTCCTGAGACCTATCCTAATCTTTCTTGAGACAATTTGTAGTCATTATTCTTTATGCTATCTGCCATTAATATAAATAAGTATATTAATTTTCTTGTGCACGTTGTCCTTTTACATGTCTGTTGCCAGATCCTTAAAGAGAATTTCACAAAAATAGAATGTTTAGCGAGTTCTGCCCAGGGAAGTTATTTTAGCATTTAAGACCATGAAAGTATCAGAAGGTCATGCGTTCTGGATCTTAGGGCAATTAATTTTTCAGATAAGTTGTTGTCTGTAGAGACCCATATACTTTAATAAATAGATCCCTTCTGTTGATAGATGTGGTGCAGCCAAATAGGGATAAAGGGGCTCCTGTGAAATTAGAGTTTAATATGCCGTTTGCAATATGCTTATCAGTGCACATTTCAAACCTCCTAGGCTATGGTGCGTTGCACACGTACTGTAGTCCTGTGTGCAATCCTGTGTCCAATAACTGTGAAGGATTGCTAGCACAAACATACTGGGATTAAGAACATCTCTTGGAGAGAAATTTGTGTCAACCTAAAATACTTCAGTAAAGATTCAAAATACACAAGGTTCTATTAACTCCCTTTCCCCACCAAAGAGCAAAAATAGAGCAATTATTTAAAGGAAATAGGCCATGACACACATGAGAACCTGATATCCTGTAATATTTCAGCTAAAGCTTTTTCAGAGTGAACTGCAGTTATAATATCTGCTTGTTTAAAAAAATAAAATAAAAAAGCAGTGATCTGCCTGTTCATGGAATGTCCTTGGCAGCCAAGAAAAAAAATCACAGACTAAAAAAAACTATGACTCTCTTGGGGTTTTTCCTAGCTGATAAATGTTCAACCATTTAGGAAAAAGAACTTCTCTGTTAGAATCCATCTGGTGGGTTTTAAAAGTATAATCAGTGAAGCTGTAATAACGTTTTCAAATGCCTGATTACTAAAATTAATGTCTCTGCTCTGAAAAGTAGGCACTGGTTTTAACTATGGTAGTACATTTTAAAGCCATCAAGATTAATTCAGATTGAGCTTTGGATTTGTGATTTAAAGAACCTCCATGATTCTCACATGAGTTTAAAGATATTTTAAATTGGCATAAGTTAACAGGATTTTAAAACTGATTGATTACCAGGATAGTAAAATCGATACGAACTCATGGTAACTGTACTAATGCTCCTGTGAAGCCATATTTGTTACTTTTTTTCACCTACTAGTGTATGATTAAACAGGAAAAGCTGGGAATCTACCAGTCTCTTCACCCTTCTCGTGTCTGCCAGTGCTTCACATAGCTGCATAATTTATCACTGTTAGGACTAACACATAGTTTATCAAAAGACTGTATGTTGGCTTTTATTCGTCCTGTCAAGTAAGAGTTAGCACTGTACTTCACTTATGGGAGTTGCAGTAGATAACACATAGTGTGCATACATTGAATCTATTCTAAAGCTGTGGGATTTGTTTTATTAGCTATGTCTGTTCTTTCCATTGCCTCCAGGCAATCAGTCATTTGAAGCACAACATATTTGGTTCCCCATAGTCCTGCTTTACCTACCCAACCTATCCTTTAGCTTGGTACCACTCAAACCAACAGAAGGACAAAGTTGGGAAGACAATTATTTTTCTCACCTCCAATTTATGGGGTAAATCTTGAAGACAGGACTGCTTGTGAAGCAAGTGACCAGTAGAAGGGTGGAATCTGATGGATTTATGCTTAAGCTGATTTCACTTTACATCAAGGTTCTATTTTAAACTGGTTTGGGGAGATTAAATGATTATGTTTTTAGACATAGCGGATATGAGTATTACATATAGTACAGCTTTTTGTACTACATCAAGTAGATATCAAAGAGATCAAGAGAGATCAAAAAGTCTCTCTGTAGCTGATTATGCATGTGTTGTAAGACTTTTTAGCGTGTACATCAATTGTTTTCTAAAAAAATTATTATAAGCATAGTTAAAATTGTATTCATATTTATACTGTGTTCATAATATGAACTTGGATATGTAATTAATTATTTTTATGGTTTCTTCTATCATTATCTGGTTCAGACATGTGAATTTATGAGATACTATTACATAGCTTAACATGTCTACAGTACAGATTTCTATGGCTGACTTTATCGCCCTAGTCCATTTTTATATTTTCTATTTTGTATTGATTAAAGATGATATATACTTTTGAGTTTTAAATGAATTTAGCAACTTTCAGAAGTTTGGTTTAGAATAAGATGAATTCTGGCCCTGGTTCTGCAGATTAGGCCGACTCTCCACTGTATGCAGAGAAGGACCTATAGTGACTACATGAGCTGTACTGCTGATACCAGTGTGGAGTAAGAATCTTACCCCAAGTGCCTGTGTTGTTGGTGGGCTAGGGGAATCATTCTGTATCTCTAACGATTTTGGTTCTGCTAGTGAAAAAGAATACTCTCACATGTTATTTAACTTGTTTCTGTTTATTTAGACTTTAAAAAAATTACAGTTATTTTTAGCAAAACAAAAATAAAAATTGAGAAAAGTCTCCTTAAAATGATGTTAGTACTTAACGTGAATGCCACAAGCTCCTTTAATGCTTTCTGGTCCTCTCAGGTGAATATTTAGATGTTTTAGTTTATTACTATGTAAGGAAAATTGTTAAACTCATTTCTTTCATGCTTTTACTTCTGTTGTTGTTCGTCTGTCTTATCATTTTCTGTGCTATGGGAAAAGATCTAAAAATTTGGCGCACAGATCCTGGCTCCATCTTCGACATTGATCCTCTGGAGGACAATATTCAGTCTAGAAGTCTGCATATGCTTTCTGGTATTGATTATATCGTGACTTTCCCCCAAATTAGCATTTTATGTTTATAAAATAAAGTTGATACTGTATATTTTTAGGCCCATATGACAGACATGTTTTATATGTATGTATTCATATATTTAAAACTGTAATATTTTAAAAGCAGTGTTTTATAGAAACTTCAGCGTGTACTTGCATGTACAGACAAGAAAGAACCGAAAGAAATTTTATCCTAAATAAGATTTACTTGTGCTAGTTAGAAATAGTCAGTCTTTAAAAAGCATTAACCTCCTTTGCCTTCATTATAATTAGACTTTTCAAATAGCTAAACCTTACTAAAATTTCAGAGATCAAGAAAATGGTTTATTTATAAAATTCATTGCTTGTCTGTGCAAATTTAGCTTATCTGGCACATGATATTTTGACTTATGCTATTGCTGGTATCTTTCCAGGCATTCATAATTTACGGATAGGTAGAAAAAGGGAGTAGTTAATGTAATAGTAGACAATAATATTTTAGTTCAAAAAGCTTTTTTGATTTTTTTTACTGAAATATTTATTTTGAGTACCAAATTTTGCCTACATATTGTCTTTGCTATGCATGGCAAAGGCAAGCAGAGAAACTTTGGAAAGTGCATTTTGTTATTCTTTAAATCAAACTAAGAGCAAATTTGCAAATTAGTCCCAGCACACTGAAAGCCTTGGGAATTACAGGATAAAATTCCGATTTTACTGAAGCCAGTAGTAGTTTTTCTATTGACATTATGATGTCAAGAATTCGTTTTCGCTCTTCTTTGAGAATATGCATTAAAGCATATCCTGTTAAAATGGTTTACTTATTTTTTTTTCCTATGGTGTTCTTATTTTTGAATCCTGTCCTATCCATTAATTACCCAAAGGCCATTCTAGTGTTCTCTGAGGTCAGTGGAAGGATGCCAAAGGCCCTGGATATGATCCTAATTCGTGGCCAGACTTTTCCTTGAATTCAAAGGACTTTTATATTACTAGAATAATGACAGTAAAGTAAAAGTTTTTTTAAGATGTGTATATCCTAGATATACATAATTTTCCTTTAAAATTTTCTAGCTACATGAACTGTATTTGAGGTCTTTGTATTTCTTAAATACTTCTATTGTTTCATATGTATGTATGTCTCATACATCTATATGCATCTTCTTGAGAAAAGTGGGCTCAGTTTTGCTGTCACTTCTGTGTCTGAATGGACGGAGCTTTAAAATTACTAAAGGAAACACACTAGCCGGAAATATTTGGAATTGATTTCAGACTTGAACAAATTTATCTTTAAGTTATAAATCTCAATTTTTTTATGACGCAAATATTTTACACAACCTTAATTGTAGTAAGGAAAATAATCATCCAGTGAGCAAGGTTTAGAAATAATATGGAGGAATAAATTTTCTTCAGGAGAGTTAATCATGTGATCACAGATGACTTATTATTGAATAATATTAAAAAGTCAGTTGCAACTGACATTCATTGCCACTCTTCTGTTCAGGAGAATTATGTATGTGTCAGGATAAGGAAACATTTAGATTTTCCGTGGGAGATACTTCTCTGCTTCATCTTCATCCCATTTCTTCTTAAATATTTCTACCTTACCTTCCACCTCTGCTACTCTTTTAAAGCAGAGGACAAAAAGCAACCTTTTAACCAAGTTTAAAGCAACCTTTTGAACCAAGTGTTCAAATTTGGATCTTCATTTTAAACCTATGAATGTGTTAATATCAATGTGTGCAGTTAGTCTTTTTCTTCTTCTGCTTCTGTCATGTGTTTACTGTGATACTCTTTCTTCATGCCGTTGTAGAAAGAGCAAGCCGTTACAGTAAGCAGTATTTACACTCTACCAGCTTGGGAGACGATAAATCAGATGGTTCTGATACGAATCCTACCTTTTCTTACTGCAGTGATATAACAAGGCCATCTGATGAAGGAGGTACCCCCTGTTCCCACCCTTTTTGCTAATAACACCCTCACAGTGTGTTTTGTGACCACAAGCCTGTATTAACTCAAATATCCTTATATAGTCACAAGTCATTAGAACCTATGTAAGTTATTGTACCAGTTGATTAAAGGCAAAGCAAATTCTCAAGTCTTGACAGTTTTTTTGTATGCCATTATGTTATTTTCTGTATTATTTTTCACCATCTTGGGAATAGTGTCAGACTAAAAGCACTACTAACTCAAGTTCACAGTGATTAAATGAAAGTGCTTTGTGTTTTTGCAAAACTTACATTAATCTATTTTTCTCATGTTGAGAGACACAGTATAACTGAAAAAAAAAGATTCCAGATGGGAAATTTAAATTTACCTGATGTTCAGTGAGATAATAGCCATATAGTAGTGTTTGAGTGATGGAAGTACTTCCCATATTAAATGTTGCAGATGCTTGAAGCTTTTGGTTTTCACCCTAAAAGAAAAAGTGAATCAATAAGAAAGATTAGGGAATTTCTAACATAGGGAAAGTTTCACATACTCTCAACAGTTAGAAACCAGAGCTAGTATTCAACCGGGAAGATGATATAGCTTACGATATTAATTTATATCAATTAATATAAGGATATTTTGGCAAACCTACTTTCCCAGATACAAAGCCATGTCTTGCATCTTTCTGATGCAATAGATTAGGACAAAAATTATGAGAATGATGAATAATGGTTCTAGTCATCCCAGGGGAATTGAAACATGTATTACACAACTTGTGGAATGTGAATGTCCAAAAATATTGTGATGTAAATATAATAAAAATAAGAACTAGTGATGTGACCTCTGCTTCTTAATTCTTGAAGAATGTGCATCGAGAAATTCAACCAAAAAGTCAAAAAGTTACCAATGTGGTTTTGTGTGTGTATTTCTATGTGTGTGTTTTAGAAGAGGTCCGAGTAAAGATACAGCTACTGTTTAGTTACCTGGGATGCTTGGATTACCTGTGCTTTAAAAATATTTTATGACAGTTTAATTGTAGACTGCTGTTTACATCCTTCCAGTCACCAGAGTTGTATTTTACTATGTTTGCTAGTGTTCAGGGGATCAACATTGTGTTATATACTGTGCAGGTACATTCAAACAGCTCTGGTTATAGAAAAGGTGAGGAAGAGTGTTCGGATTGAAGAGCTCTGGCTCTGACCTAATATCCGTGTCCTTGACTAAAGTGAAATCCCTTATATCCTGTCTGTTCATCTTTATTTGATATTTTAACTTTATTCCAAACTCTTTGAAGAGATTATTGCAAAAACATGCATTTATGAGTCTCTCTGCCTTGATGCAACATAGGTTTCTCAGTCTATGGCACATTGTCCCTAAATATCTATCCTGGTCTTTTCAGGCTCTCCTCCAAGGCATTTTAACACTCCTCTGTGAGCTTGATTTGATTGTTAACAGATATTTTTTATTACTTGCCATACTGAGAATAGGAAATGGGCTTTATTTTGCTGGTTTTGTTGGCATCAGCAAGCTTGCTTTCTGTGTCTCTTTTTAAATCTATTGTCATGGTGAAGTGTGAAATAGATTCTTGCCAAGGTCAACATGTTTTAGCAAGATACTGTTTCCTTTCTTGGCCCAACTGGTTAACCAATGTCTGAGAGCTTGCAGACCGTTTCCCTTGCAGGAGAGAAAAAAATGCCAGAGCTAAATACTTTAACAAAATTCTGATTATTTACAAGAATGATACCAAGATGTCCATTGCTGTGAACATACTCCGAAACAGACAGCAGAAGATAGTGTCTTTGGTCACAGTTATCAACTTTTTTCAAAGCAGCATTTCATCCACAATCTCATTTGTTGCATAGCCAAAGGATGACTAGGCCCTTGACCTTTAAGGAGTGTCTGTTAAGGTGCACCACAGTAAATGAGAGCCAAGCTAATTTTGCTGAGATTTCACTGCTGTTTCTCACTGAGTTTGTACTTTTAGGTCTTGCAGTGCTTCTCACTGGTGATTGCTCAATCCAATGGTGCACCAATATGAAATATGACTGGAGACCTCCAACCAATTTCACAACATCTAAGTTGGCCTAACATCTTTGGCCTAATTCATATATTTCAGCAGCTTCTAAATTGTCCTATTGCAAATTTATTCTGTAAGATGTTATTGACTTTTTGACCAAGAACACAAGTCTTTACCAACCCACTGGCACGGCTACTGTTTTTTTCTTAGGTACTTCTTCCAGTCCTTTTCTGGCTTCTTAACTAGAGCTTCATCATAAACCTGATGCCAAAGGCTTTTCTTAAATCTAAATAACTGCCTCTGTTGTCCTGGAGGAATTTTGATAGCAACATCATAAGGAGGCTTCTCTGGTTCTTTGTTATACTTTCCTATTATTATATGATTTCCTGGCCACTATTTTAGGTGATAAGGTAAAAGCTCATCACCTACATTCTTTGTAATTAATTGTTGGCCTAACAAAGATTCCCTTTTTACCTGTAAGACATCCTTTAGCACTTCCTAGAAACATTTGTGTGTCACATTAATAATTTTTGTAAAATTTTCAGCTATTGTTCAAACAGCTGTTTTCAGCCTGGCTAAGGAGGAAGAGAAACTAACAATTTCTCTCTTTCCATATTGTTTTTTACACTGAGGTTACAGCTTCACAGGCATGAAGATATTCAGTCATTTTTGGCAAAATCTTTCAGATTATTTGAATGAGAAGAAATGGAGATATATGGGAATTAGATCAATTTCTATTTATTTAAACTGGTCAAGTCCTTCCTTGAAAGAATACTGTAGGAAGAAAAGTAACAAGACAAGAGATTATTTATTTGCTTTCAATTCAACCATTTTCTAAAGGTTTCATTATAAAGTTTCTTTCTCTCTCCTGATTTTCTGTGCTGCCATACACACCGTGTTTCCTGCCAGTTCTTACCACACTTACCATCTTGCTCTGCTTCCTCTCCCAGCATGTAACATCTTGTCCTGGTTGTCTGCATTCAGGCCACCAGGAGAAGACCATATGACCCAACTCATATTTCAGTCTGGCATTATTTTCAACAATTGTACTTATATTTCAACCGTCTACTTTATAGAGGAGGCAGTTGCTTTTATGTGTCTCTCAGATTTACATCTATTTATGGAGTTTTGATTTCTAATGACAGAAGGCAACACAGCCATCTCCTATTTGGGTTTCTTTGTTGACAGATTGTAGAGTTTTTCTCAGAAGATGTGCTGATGCATATATTTTTGGAAAGATATATTCTATTATTTTAAGGACTCAAAATAACAATGAATCCACTATCTCTTACTGGCAAGCTAGGTCAATACATGAAAATCGCATTCAGCTCCCTCCATGTCTCAAGACTGTTTTGTCTAGTTCTGTTACCCCAAAGTCAGAGTAAAAATGCTTGAAAGTAGCATAAGTTCAGAACAATATTGGAGACTGTTTGGAGACTTAGAGACTTTTTTAGTAAAAAAGTCATATCTTTGGAGACTAAAGTAGTGCTAGCACTGGAATGTTAATGTGTGGTGGGCTGAAATGAATATGTGCTGTATGATCTAGTGCTAGTCTTGCTCAATTGCTCAGAGGCATGTGTGTGCAGTTATAGACAAAGAATGGCAAAGTAAAGTGAAGGCTACAAGCAAACATTCATGATTAGTTCGTGTTTTTCTTCAAGCCCATTGTAAGTAACAAAGAAACCAAATATTACAGCCAGATGAAATTGTGGTTTAGGATTAAAATGTCAAGCAATTTAAGCCTTTTAGACAATAGAAACTTGCCATTAAGAGTTGACCTACATCATCATCTGTCTCCAGGGGACACTCAGCTACTAATAAAACAGGTTCTAGGTTTACCATTAAGGTTAGAGAAGTGACCGCACATTCATGCAGTGGTAGATCTGAGTAGCCTAACAATACCATTACTCTGGTTGCTTCCAATTTGCATCAGTCTTTGCCTCATTTTGAAGATGCCTTCGATGTTTAGAATAGGAAGGCCCATGAATATTGGAAGAGTTTCACTATTATCCTCACTTCGTTGTTATTCTTTCTCTCTCTTTTTTTTTTTGTTCATTTCTACCTTTTGTTTTCATTACGCTTCCTCGAACCTTAAGTTTCCTCCCTTTGTTTTAATTATCAAAGTCTTTTTATGCTTTTCCTTCCATCCTCTTTCAACAGCAGAATGTTTTCACTTTACTCTGCAATATTCTTCCTTCACACAGATTTTAATTATCTTTCAATTTATTATATCTCTGTGGGACTTTCTGTTTATCTCTTTCCTATTTTTCTTTGATTTATATCAGCAGGGCTTTATTTAAATATTACCAAGTTTGTTTTCAGTCTGAAGCCCTCTAAATGATCTAAAATGATCTTAGTGATCATCTTGCATTAGACTAATTCAACTAGTTTTTTTTTTTTCCCCTCTTTGGCCTTTTTTTCTCCTTTTAGTTTAAATCTTTTTGGTTGATTTTCTCCCCTTTTGCTTTTAAACTTTATTTTCTTTTCTTTATTTTCTTCTTTCTTTTCTAGGGTCTTCCTTTCTTTAGCCTAATGAAAAGGGTCTGCATCTAACATTTGAGTCTCTTACTTTTCCTTGGAAGCTACCTCCTTTCTCTGACACATCCAAATAGACAAATTTCAACAAAACATGGATACTTTAATGTTTTTTAAATCTTTATCTTTCTTATTATCAACCTTAAAGATAATTTTATTTTTCTATGAGAAAAGTAAAACTTTTTGTTAGCTATTTCATAGATACTAATCTACTCATCGATTACTTGTTCCCTAATTAATTTTGGTCAGATTTAGAGAATGCTACTGCAAAAAACTTTGGAGGGAAAGTATTGGAAATGGGTTAGAAGCAACTTGACTCCAATGTATATGAAGTCTTCAGAACATACAGTATCACAGAATTTTCCTGTGGGATAAGAATATTTAATGTTTTGAGATCTTTATATAGTTGGGAGTTGAAGTAAAGTCAATGAGAAACCATCAGTCCTTTCATCTCTCCC